CTGGGGGCGGAAAGGGGCTGAGAAAGGGGATTTTGGGGATAACGGGGGTGGGCAGGGAGGAGAAGGGGGATGTACCCGCTCCCGCTGCGCCTCCTGCAGCTCCCGCAGGAAATCCCGCAGGGCCGCCCGCGCCGCCTCGGGATCGGAGGAGGGGTCGGGGTCCGGGGAGGAGCCGGGGCTTCCTGACCCCTCTGGGACCCCACCTGGGAGGGGACAAACAGGGGCAATGGGGACAGCGGGAGCAGCACCCAGGGCAGGACGCGAGGGGGGGTGGGATGGACCACAGGGGGGGTGCCCGTGGGATATGGGGGACCCCAGGGATGTCAGGATGGGGCAATGGGGGACCCCAAGGATGCAGGGGATGGAGCAGTTGGGGAACTCAGGGATGCAGAGAAGGGAGCAGTGGGATGTGTGGGACGCTGGTGATGCGGGGGGGGAGCAGGGAGCGTTGTATGGGAGACCCCCAGGGATGGAGCAATGGGGTGATGGGTAACCCCGGGGAAGCAGGGAATGGAGGAACAGGAGACCCCAAGGAAGCAGGGGATGGAGTAACAGGGTATGTGGGACCCCAGGGATGGAGGGGACAGAGCAATGGGGGGACCCCAGAGAAGTAGAAGATGGAGTTACTGGGTATGGAGGATCCCCAGGGATGGAGCAATGGGGAGATGGGGCACCTCAGGGAAGGGGGGGGATGGAATAACAAGGTACGTGGGACGCCAGGGAAGGAGGGGATGGAGCAATGGGACACCCCAGGGAAGCAGAGGATGGAATAACAAGGTACGTGGGACGCCAGGGAAGGAGGGGATGGAGCAATGGGGCGATTGATGGGTAACCCCCGTGACGAAGTGCCCGCCGCAGGTCACACCCTTCTCCCCCAGCCCTGCCCGCAGCGCCAGGGCTCTCACCGGGGGCCGAGGGGCCGGGCCGGGCCCGGGCCATGCCCACAGTTCTCCGCAGGGCCGCCTGGAGCCCACCCAGCCGGGACTCGGCCGCCCGGCGCAGCTCCTCGCCCCGGGCCAGCTCCGCCTCCAGCCCCTGGGCCCGGCCCTGAGCCGCGCTCAGCCGCAGGCTCAGCTCGGCCACTTCGGCCCGCGCCGCCTCCACCTTCAGCTGCAGGTTCCGGGAATCCGCCAGCAACTTCTTCTCGTTGCCCCGAGCCTCCTCCAGGCTCCGCGCCAGCTCCTTCTCCCGCTGCCGGAATTCCGCCTCCGCCTCCGCCAGGCGCTGCTGGAGCTGCTGGAGCTGCGGGAGCGGAGGGGTCGTGGGGAGAGGGATGGAGCATGAGGGGAGGGACAGGTAAGTATGGGAGACCCCTAAGAATGAGGGGGATGGAGCGATGGGGTAAGGGGGGATGATGGGGGAGCCCAGGGATGCAGAACACGGAGCAGTGAGGTGATTTTGACCCCAAGGGATGGAGCAATGGGATGATGAGGGATCCCTAAGGATGCAGAAGATGGTGCAGG